TTGCCAGCTCCATGGAGAGACATTCAGTCAGGGAAACTCCTAATGCCCCTGTGGAAGCTATACATTATTTGTGGTACAACCCAAACCCTCCTTCCCCAAAGCTGCAGGCTATGAATTGCTACACCATTGCTTCCAGCAGCCTTAAATGCATTATCAAACCTAAATTTCATTTAATGGGCTTCATGAATGTTTACTTCAATTAGCAAACACATAGTTCTGAAGAGGAAATGAGTAGCTTTCATTTTTTTCTTCTTAATTAATATCTGCCTCTCTGTAGCTTTATCTTACTTAGCTGCTCTGTAATTTGGCTATAACCCAGCTCTAGGGGATGGAAACAGAGCTATGACTGCCCAGCTAAAGGGGACTTGTAAGGCACATGCATATTTATTCCTTCATGGAAATATGATAGAAACTCACTGGCTGATGCAGTGCTTGAAGTGGGGAAAGCACGTTAAGCATCTTAACATGATGTGTCTAGTGCTAAAAAGCAACAAGAACAGGGCTGTTCCCTAGGAGAAAACAAGCTAGGGGCAAAGGATGCTGACAGCACTGCAGGTAAACATGCAAACAGGACCCAGCCCCACCATGCCTAAAGAGAGTTAGGGGCAGTAACCGGCTTCATCAACCACCCAGCGATCACGAGGCAAAGCGAGGAAGCAAGTCCACAGCCTAACCAGGAAACCAAGTTAGAAACACTAAAAAACAGCACTACTTACAACACAAGCCCAGAGCTCACCCAGCAAAGTCAAAAGACAGAACTACAGCCAGAACTACCCTACAACTGCCTCAAAGAAAGAGTAAGCCTCCTTGGCCTGCACTTAAATGGAGGTCACGGTTGATGCGCAAAGGGTGCTGGGTGGAGGCCCAGGTGAGACTGCTTGGGGCAATGAAAGCCTGAGGGTACACTCAGGACCCTGACACTTGAAACACAGCTGATAAATCCCTTGTCAGTGAGAACCCAATCTGCAAATTTCTCTTAACGGAACGATACCCGCTTTAAACAATAGCGTGTATTTGTAGTGCAAAGTCATGCTCCTTGAGACACATGGCTCTTTTTGACTTGGTGGTCAATCCTATTGATGTACGCAGTATCAATCCACGCTATGCGTAGTATTGCATCAAACATGCATGAGCCTACAGATCTCAATCAGCTCAATTAATTCCATGTGTGTCTATATATAGGCCATCAGTGCCATTACCACTGATAGAAGATGTTGGCTTCTAGCTGCAGGAAGTGTAGCCATTGCCGGAGCTAGTGAGTATGTCTTACAAGGGCAAACAGGAGCACATAAGAGGTGGAAACTTCTAGTTTTTAAACACGTAAAATATAGATATGAGTTTTAGAGTCTTCCTTTAGCTTCTCTGCAGAACTCTGAACGTAGCCAAATTGCTAGCTAGGTGATAGTATGCTTGAGAGTTGACCTTTTCTTGGGGGTGGTAAAGAAAAGTGATGGTTTTTCTGGTCATACTAGTAGTGTTTGTGGGCCACGACTATGCGCTTAAAAGAAATCCTTGGACTCCAGAAAACATGGGCAGAAATAGAGATGGATAGAATAGTAGCTCTAATACTCTTTAGCTGGTGAGAAGCTTGACAGAAACTTTTGCAGTAAATGTGTGTGGTTAAGGGAACACCCTTATCAAGATAAAAATAGCTGAATGAGAAAACTTAATTATTATGCACTAAATACAGGAAAATACGACCATTGCTTTGTTGCCCCTGGATAGTTATGTATAACCAAGCACAGAAAGCTGTGCAGGCTCTTTTCTACCTTGTTGCCACTTCTCGAGATGCCCAGGAGAGGTCAGTGTGCCCTCGCTTTTAGGTTAATCGCATGCAACCTTTCCAAACGTATGTTTTTATTTAGAAAATGCTGAGCTGTCTGGAAAGTTTGATCAAGAGGGATGCAGCTGTATTAATGTGCTTCTTCCTGGGGATTTGAATGCGTTTTCTTAGCAGTACAGGGGAACCAGGGATCAGGGAGACAATATGCAGGCAAACGGCTCTGCTGACCACATCATCAGGGCTTGAATATTTTAAACCTAGCGTCATGGGATTTTAACAGCTAAAATTTGGTGTTTAGGATTGATGGTCTTAGTCAGACTGAGGTTTCTCTCTGCAGTGGGACAAATCTGTGAGCACCCTGGAGTTGCTCCAGGCTAACACAGGAGAAGTACTAGACCATGTCTCTGCTGGCAATCACTGATTAGCTTTTTCACTTAAAGCTCTCAGGCTCAGTTCTCTCTGATCCCTATGAAGGTCACTGGGATTGCAGCAGTGCAGCCGAGCCTCGTGCCTTCTGGAATAAAGAATATCATCAGCATCTGCAACCGAGGATCGGCTTCCGCTGTGCTTTTGCTCCCCAAAACGGTCACCGACAGTTTCTGCCTGTGGCCAGAACATCAGGGCCCCATAGTTGTACATGGGTCTGACGCTCGTCTGCATTATACCTCAGCACTCCCAGGTACATTTAAAAAAAGTACTTCTCAGTGCCTAGTTAGGATGTTCAGCAGTGCATCTGCAAGCTCTCTGCATGGCAGTAGGCTTTATCTTTAGCTGGAAATGAGTCATTTCCCTGTACTGTACAGAGATGCCCAATTTCCTTGGAAATTGTTCAGTTCTGCAGAGTCCCCAGAAATCGCTGATTATAGGACTCTCTTTTTGCACTGGGTGTTTTACCTCAGTCTTAATAGATGTCTGGAGATGTTTCACAGGTTAGAGTAATTAAAAAAAAAAAAGGATAGAAGCAACTGAGACTTTACCCAGTTCATATTTAATCTGAAGGGCAAGTGAACCTTCTGTATGGACCATTGGCTACTCATCACATAGCCCCAAACCACAACCAAGCAAGGTTTAATGAAGATTAAAGCCTGTTAAATCAAAAAGGACTGCTTTCACACTTGTGTTAGCTGACTGGCTGAGAGGATTGCAGTTCCACCCTAAGCCGTGTGGACTTAGGGTGTCTTGTACATGAGACTTGGAAGTGAGGTGCAGGTAGGAGCCCCTCTCCAGCACCCTACAAACTATGGGTGAATGATGGTGGTCAAGGAGGACTTTGAGGTCTGCAGGGTGGGCTTGTAGACCCTTACCTACACGAACTGCTGAGAACAAGGATGATGGAAGAGGTGTAGCATTAACTGTAATGAAGAGGCACAGTGGCTCAGCAGAAAAGCAACTGTACAGTGATGCACTTTTAGATCTGTGTATCCAACATGCTAAATATTATCACCAGCAATTTTACTTGCTTATTCTGAAAGCCATATGCATCTTAAAAGTCTTCAAACATCGGGGAAAAAGCAATTAGGTCTGTTTACAACATGCTGATCCAGTCTTGTTGGCATTGCTGGAAGCCTGTGCCCAAAAGCCAGCCCATTCAAGCAAGGTAGCGACGCAGGAAAAAGGGCTGTGCAAAGGGTAAACATTTTTGCCATCCCACAGTAGCCAGGGCCTGCCTAGCCGATCCGCTTGGGACAGGAGCTTGTCAGCAGGATGGCTGTAGTTATTACCATAATACAGGAAATAATTGTCACTGGGAAAACACGAGCGTGCTCTGGTTTCCTCTTCTGCCCCAGTCAGAGGGGAGGAAGGAGAGCGATGCTGCCATGGAGGCATTCCTCTGGCAGCCCCGTGCTCCTCGGGGGTTTTGTATTCTGGGTGGCAGGCTGGGAAAACCAATTTTTGCCATTTTAATGTTTCCTTCTGCTGTTTGAAATCCCAGCTCTGGCCTTCCCTGTTAATGCATGTGGAAAGGAGAGGAGCCAGCTGCTGCAGACGCCGTAGACTGGAAAAAATCTCCTCATTTCTGAGAAAAAAGGCTGAAAAGAACCCAAAGTGCATTTAAAGGAAACTTCATGAGATTTGAGCTAAACTAAACTTCTCTGAAGCCTGACCCAAGGCCTTTGGGCTCTTCGGATGAGCCGCTTCGCTGCTTATGAGCATCTTGCTGCAAGCTGTGTGAGGTACTGGGGTAGGGAGGAGGAGAAAGATGTGATTTAGTAGTATATCTGAGGTGAAGGCTTTACAAAACCAACTGCTAGGTTTAAAGCACTCAATGAGTTTTGAGGGCTGGGGATCTCTCTAGTTTACTTTTAGTTTTATTTGAGGCTCTTGAACCAGGTGCTAGCAGGGCCTGTGTGAGGACAAGCCTCGTACTTCAGGTCAAGCCCGAGATGTCACAGCAGGGGACTTCTATTATTATGACACGAAAATGTCAAGTTTAAGCGCGCTATTTCGAAAATAAATGTAAATAGCCATCGCCAGGCGAGGCGCCAGCACCGGCCACGGCTCCTCGCTGACAGAATTTCTGCGCCCACCCCTCCCAACGAGGAGAAGAAATGGATCCCGGGCACCTTCCTCTCTCCCTCGACCCGCCGGGGACCCTATCCCCGCCGGCCGGGCTGAGGGGAAGCCTCTGCACCGGGGTCTCTCTCCACAGCCCCCCTCACGGCCCCGCCAAA